CGAATACTAGGGGGCATTACCCTCGGGTATCGAATTGCTTTATCAAGGAAATTATGTCGTAATGGAAGGGTCTCGATAGGTAGGATTTGTTATAAGGGCCAAACTGTCAAACGAACCGTGCCCATGTGGATTGCTCGAGCCCTGGCATAAAACATGTACGCATGCATAACTATTTAGCACAAGAATAAAAATAAGCATTTTCCTTGCATTCATTTTATGTTTAAAATTTTTTCTCTTTACATCCCTTAAAGAATTTCGTACTTTTGATCTCCTCAAAGAAGCGAACTCAAGGGCCGACTATAACCAGAATTCAAATGACCACCCCCTCACTCGGGGACTTCCGGCCAAAAACAAACTCGAACATATCGAGCTATTAAACATCGAGGATACAAGACATATTAGGCAACCCCCGAATTTTAAAGGCCACGACCATACCCACTTAGGGACTGTTATCTTAGGCAAGCCTATATAACTTGGGGAAGTAAGCCCACTGGGCTACACCTAAAATTAAAAGGACATGACCATATTAACACGGTTTAGAGACGTCCAAGAACCGTTACAAAAAATAGGCCTTCGAAATTTTCATAACTGGTTCTAAAGGCTACCCTCGACAAACTATATTTTGAATTACTTACTTTGGGAGAAAGTTTTCAATGACACCAAACCCAAGATGCCTCAAAACAGAATAATGTAAAGGCAGGGTTTGTTTGAACTTACACAACATAAGTTATTTTATGCCAAGACATTCCGGCCTTTGGGAACACAAGTAATAAAGCAAAGGAAATTTTAAGAGCCAAAAGGGAAAGAAAGACTTATACATATAACAATCTTTTTACAAAGGTCAGAATGACCTAATACAAAAATTTACAATGGCTGAGACGACCTCAAAAAAATGCCAAAGAAAGAAAAAAAATATAAAAACATATAAAGGCCTAAGTAGCCTGACCTTCATCGGAGGCAGCATCTCCATCCTCGGGATCTTCCCTATCTTCGGACTAGCTTAAGCTCTTGGAATCTTCCTCGGGAAAGGTTAGCTTCCAGGCCCTGGCTTCTTCCGATTTGGCATTCTCGATTTTGGCCAATATATCGAAGTCCTGAGCATGAGCTTCCTAGAGGGCTTCCCTTCAAGCTTGCCACCTTGCATGATCTACCATGCTCTTGGCCTGTGCCTAGATGGCCTCGGAGTCGACCTTGAATTGGGCCACTTTAGCATCGGCTTTGGTATTGGCCACGGCCACCTCAGATTTAGCCGTCTCAAGTTAATTGGGATTGAAGTTACTTGAGTTTCTTGACCTACACCGAGGCTTTCTCTCTTGCAGTTCGGAGCTAGGACCCGGCTGACTCCAGCACTACTTGGACGACCTCCTTTTTCGAGGCCAATATGTCCATATTTTTCTTGAACTCCTCAACCTCGGCCTGTATCGTATCTACCTGTGCCTAAAGCTGCCCGATCTGTTCAAGCCTCTAACAGACCTGCAGGATCGGATCATTAGTAGGGATCTCCAGTTCGTCTTCACTATCATGAAGCACTCAAAATACCTGCTCGGCCATCTCGATATGCTTCCTCCGAGCCGCTTCTATAACTCGGCTTGAAGCTTCTCGCTCAAAAGCTTGTAAGCATCCCTCTTCTTGGTGAGTTCCAGAACCTTAGCCTCGTACATCTCAAGGATTTGGAGGAAAGCCTCATGATGCAACACAGAAGCCTGCAAGCATGAAGAATGATGTTAGAATTACTTACAACTTCAAGTTTAAAATAAATAACAAAGTGACCCTCGAAGTTACCCGATTCAAAGCATGTTGGGCCTCATTAAATAGGCAAGGTGCTTCCACCGCATTCATCAAGACCCGGGCATCCTTCGGTAAACAAAAGGTTATCAACCGCCTGCGGTTGGGGTTAACACTTGGGGTCGTGAATTGATCCACTAGTTTTGGGCTTGATGAAGATCCTGATGCACCCGATGGCGATACCTTCTTTCTCACCGGCAAGTCACCAAGCCCGGTGACATCTTCCGAAGCAGTGGACTCGAATCCGTCCAAGAAGTCGTGGATATCAGCCGCCCCTGAGGCCCCTCATAAGAATGGCTTTCTAACATGCTTGCCTCGTGGATCATGACGTCTGGAATATAAGGGGATCCAAAAATATTGATCACTCCGAGCTCGTCCCTCGGGGTATCTTCCGCTATTCGAGAAGCGTCGCCCCCGGTCTCTTTCTCGACCCCTTTAGCTTGGAGCTGAGTGGCTTCAACCCCTCCTGGTTCGGGAACTTCGGCCAAAGCTCCCTCATCGGCCTCCTCCGATTTGAAGGGCTTTTGCATCGAAACACAAACCCGCATACGGCCCGCCAGTTTGGATCTATCTTCCTCTTCTTCTTCTTGTTTGGACTTATTCCTTAGTCGATGTACTGAGTCCGAAGGTAGAGCGCCAGAACTCCCCCTGGGCTTGAGTGACCTCCTCACCGGTCTCTTCCTTTCCAAATTCGGGGGACTCAGACCCTTTTTCTATTTTTGTCGTCGCCCTGCTTCAGAGCAGGGGACTAGAGAGGCACATCCTCATCACCGGATAGAGGCCTCATAGCAACGTACTTGGGAATACCTATTAGAAAAAGTAGACGAAGATTCAATAGCAAAATAGGGAAATTGGACATTATTACCCCAGGAAAAGAAGTTTACCGTGATTACTGGCCTCCCATCGACCCTTTGATAATTCCATCCAAGCACACTCGGAATACGGTCTCTGTGACACAAGGCCTTTGACCCATTCCTTGAGTTCAGGAACTACGTCCAGTATACGGGCCACAACTGCAACAACAAAAACATCGATAAGGAAGGAGATAATAGGGAAAACACCAAGATTGAACTTTTAAGGCAAAGCGCAACTTATGTTTCATATTCCATTTCTCGGGAAATGGAATGTCTTTGGAAGGGATCAGGTCCGAAGTCCTTATTCCAACAAACCATCCCATCCAACCTCGGTCCGAAGACTCCTCTATGCTCGAGAATGGGGCCTTACTGGCCGGGTGACCAAGCTTGATCATCCCTCCTGGATAGAGTCGAGGACTATAAAGGCGCATAAGGTGATCGAGGGTAAAAGGACATCCCTTAATTTTGCCTATGAAGAATCAAAGGAGGATCACTATTCTCCAGAAGGAAGGGTGGATCTTGCCGAGGGTCACAGAATACCTCTTGCAGAAGGCAATGATGATGGGGTCTAAGGTACCCAATATGAAGGGGTAAGTGTAAACACTTAGAAAACCCTCCACGTGGGTAGTGATCGACTCCTCTGGCGAAGGAACCACCACATGCTTATTGATCCAGTTCCAATCCTCTTTAACCTTGGCAAGGAGATCGTCAGTAATTGTGCATATGTACCTCAAGACCAGCTCACATCGTCCCGGTATCGAAGAGGTCTTCTCAACCTTAAAATCGGCAATGGTAGGGCACTTTGCCAGAATGAATTCCTCAGGATGGGACTCCACCGTAGCCTCGCTGTCGGCGGGTCGTGATGAAGAGGCGGCCTCCTTTTGCAGTACGGTCTTAGAAGTTTTCGCCATTGAAGAACAGAAGAGAAGAGAATTAGGATGGTATGTGGTTTGATAAAAGTTCAAGAACTTTGGGTGCAAAAGTTGCAAAGCAAAGGGATTTTTGAAGAAAAAACAAGAATAAGAGGAGCTTTGAACGTGAAGTTTTAATGAAGGAAAGCTAGGGTACTTATAGCTTGCTGGTGACGGTTCAGTACCGGTAGTGGCCGAGCAGCAACTGACAGGCATTTAGTGCCTTGATAAATGGACCGACGGGACGTTTCAATATCCCTTTGTCTCTTACGCCATAGTCGGGCTCGTTGCTGACATCATGGCCCATCGCGGCGGGATTTGGATGTTCATATCATTTCTCACCATCTTCTCTCCGAGAAACGTGGGAACTATCTGTATATGGTCAAAATCGGGCTTGCCCCTTATGTGCTTAATCGAGACTTAAATATGATAGATTAAGGTTCGACCTCGGATTATACCGAACCAAGGTACGAGGTTATATCATTATGTTCAACCTCGGAACCGGACAAGATCGAGGGAAATTTGCCATGCCGAATAATAAAAGGACGAAATATCCGCGAGCGGGTGCCGATCACGGTAGGAATCTCGGCACATATCAAGGACATGCCGGTTAATTAGCTAATCATGGGATTTCTTACCTCATATAGAATTGTATCAAGAGTAGGACTCCCCTACTATATAAAGGGGGTCTCATCATTTGTATAATACATCATCTTTACGCCACATAAAGTAATATACTGTCATTTTCTAGCTTTCATTATCTTGTTACTCTATTACTTTGTTCATACTTTAGTTGGAACTTTGGTTTGTGCGATTTTCATTTATTCTTTTACCATCAATCTCAATATTAATCTATTCTCTTAATTTATACCAACCTATATCACGTATCCTTGAAACCACATATACATTCAGTTGTTTTCTGATTTTAGGGTAAACACCTTTCGTTCCATAGTCGTCACAATCTTTCTTTCATTGATCAGATAGCCACTTCTGCATATGCTCCAATTGTCACCTTCTACTCCAAACCTTCAAATAACATAAGCCAGATTCTTGAAAACTCCCTTTCAAAAGTATTGTCCTCTTATTATCCCTTTGCTGGATAATCACGGATAATAAATATGTCGATAGCAATGACACATGTTCTGAGTTTCTAAATGTACAAATCAGTTGCCAGTGTCTCAAGTTCTCAACCACGCATATAATGATGCTACTAATGTTGTCTTCCCATCTGATTCGACTTAGACTAGTTCCTTTGGTCGAAGTCCACTGGTGGTTCAATTAAGCCATTTCGGTTGTGGTGGAATAGCAGTCAGTATATGCCTATCACACAAAACTACTGATGGATATAGTCTCTTTAAATTCCTTAAGGATTGGGCTGCTACAACTCGGCATGAGTTGGATTTCGAATCATCTACTCAATTTAATGCACATTCCTTCTTACCGCCAATCGATGATCTTCCAGTTGTACCCGATATTGTTCGTGAACCTCAGCGATATATGTTTGTCAAGAATCTACCATTTCTCATCCTCTAGTTTGGACAGACGCAAGGATATTGTTGCAATGAATTCACAAGTGCCGAATCCAACTCGAGTTGAAGTTGCCGCAGCACTGCTTTATAGATGTGGAGCGGCAGTATCAATGGCAAATTTCGGCGTGTTCCAACCATCTATATTGTTCCATGTAATGAATTGTCGTCCCCCATTGCCCCAAAACACCATTGGAAATGCTTTGTGTTTCTTTATCTCATTAGCAGTGACGGAAGATGAGATACAAGTACCCCAATTCGTCGCTCAACTAAGAAAAGCTAAAAAATATCTTCAAGAAAAGTTGAATGATCCAAATCAGCTAGCGCCACATGTTCTTGAAAAAATCAAAGAGACAACAAATAAATCAGAGAAGAATATGTGAACGTTAATGAGTTAAAACAAAATTCAGGAAACTGTTAGAAGAATAAAGAAATATATAAAATAGTAAAGAATCAGAAATATTCCGAGTCCACAATTTTCTTGTGCGTCCTTAAGGAATTTTAACCCCCTCACACGTTGCCAAGGTAATGGATTAAATCCTCCCAGGATAAAACGGAATAAACCTTCCTGCAACAGTGGCAATACAAACTGCAGGATACCAACAAACTCAAAGAACGGAGCAAAATCACACTTACGAATTTGAGAGAGAGAGACTGCGAATTAGGATGCAGTATATTCAGAAAGAAAGAAGTTCTAGAGTCTTTTTCGTATATGGAAGATGCAGCCTTGCCTCATAATTTATAGGCAAATATCAGAAGAGGTGTCTGGAAAGGTGCCTTTTCAGAAAATACGCGGCCTGCCGCGGTTCTACCGCGATCGTGGCCGAACCGCGGCCAGAGAGCTTCTCTGAATCTGGCTGCCGCGATTCTACCGCGGTCACAGCAGAACCACGGCCAGCGAGGCCCTCTGAACGTTCAGCAGTGATTTGGCATTTAATTAATTATTAAATAATTAAATAAATTTTGTCCAAAAATAATCTTATCGATCCAAATCCAAATCCAAATCCAAATCCAAAGCCGAAGCCGAGTCGAGCGAGCGACGATGACGGCGCGAGGGTTCATTCTCTTCAACTCCTTTTAAGATCTTTAAGAAGTGAATCTATATATAAGCACATAAATGTGATTGTCCCTCACCAATGAGGGACAAAGTGCAAGACAAAAGTTCACTTCTTCAAATTTTCATTTTCCCTCCATTTTATTTCCCTCCATTTCCAATTCACACTTCTTCTCTTTTAAAGCCCAATGGCTTAAAGTCCAACAATCCCCCATATGAATGGGAATGGCTGTATCAAGAAAGATCATAGATGAAAGCTATGTGATTTTGCAAGTAAGGATTAATTGCATCTGGATAAGTAGGTTTCCCTTTGAACTTTCCATAGTGAACATATGTCGGATATACTCGGTCAATCGATAGATTTGATATCTTTGAACCGTCGAACTTTTAGTGTATACCTAGACAACCATATGTCACACAACCAACCCTTAACCGTCTTTTGATTCTCATTGTTGTGTTCGTTTTAGCCATGAACACCGCCTGGTTTCATAAGTGCGTAGAGAATTGGCCTTACAGAATTCTCATTGAAGCGGCTTCTTCTTCACACTTACATAGGTGATTTCTAAACGTGTAATCCTTTAGATTGACATTATTTAATAAATACCTCATCAAACTTAGGTAATCATTAAAGAACGTGTAAAGTTCTATCCTTGTTACTGAACATTGTCTTCATCACGAGAATGGACCAAAGATTTTGTTTTGACAATGTTGAACCGGTCAATCACAACTTTGTTTGAGCTCCTTGAACCTAGATCTCGGAACATCCAAAATTTTAGGTAGAGTTACCGCCATGTTGACTTGTCCTCGGCCATAGTCCCATTCCCTTAGATGATTTCTCAACTCCCTCTATGGTTAAGCCTTTTGTAAGTGGATCCGCAACATTATCCTTTGATCTTACATAATTAATAGTGATAATTCCACTAAAAAGTAGTTGTCTAACGGTATTATGTCTTCGTCGTATATGACG